TATAAACCACCAACAAAAAACAACAACAAACAAAACAAAACGTACACAATATCAACATGTTCTCAATCAGACAAAGTAGAAACACTGCGTAAGTCTCCACGCGCCCCTCATAATCAGAAGCCAGTGTCATTACTCAAAGCATCACCCTCAAGTCTGTTGTTTAGTAAAGCCTCCTTTGATCTAAAACGAGGACATTACTCATTCGTACTCTTGTTCATTCATTATCTCGGCAAAAGTATTCATGAAACATCGACCAGACATTCGTCTGAACCCCTCCGCTTTTTACCTCCGATGACTCTTGTTTACGTTTTTGTCGGTGCTAATGTTTGGGTCGTTTCCAAGATGTAAAAGTCGACTGGAACCGGCATCTTTTTCTTTTCTTTTCTTTTCTTAAAAAAATATTTGTAGTGTAGCTGTTTTGCACCCATATTGACACAACTTAGATAATCTAGGAGGAGAGCTGTGGCCCTGTTTGATATGGCCAACCCAGGTTGAGAGTATAGGGGTACACCGACCCAGCAGAGAGACAGAAATCCAGGGTACTCAGTAAAAAACAAATGAATTATCTCCCCACTCGGGAATCGAATTTAGATCTCCTGCGTGCAAAGCGCTATACATCAGACACCGGTCGGGTATAATAATCAATGTGATGTGATAGTTAATCCTCCCTGCACACCTCCAGGTGTGAGTTTGAATTATGAGATGACTACATTTTCATTTTATTTTAGTTTTAGTAAGCGTTTTACGACACCTGCAACACAATTAGGTCATATAAGTGCCAAAGATTAGAGGTGTTACAAGAGAGTAACATACACTCAAAAAAGGAGGAGAGATAACGAAGACAGATGTTCGATAGGGAAGGAGGAGCAAACCACAGCAGAGCACCTGCCAACCACCAACTTGAATTAAAAAAAAAAAATTGAGTTAGGTATCTCCGTCTTCCGTCTGAGATTTTCTATCCGACAAAGCCAAGGTTGATCCTGAAAGACGGATCAAAGCAGCCCGCCTCCAAATAATCTAAATTGTATCAATGGAGGCGCAAAACATTAACAAACTTGGACATCAAAGATATTGCCAGCGGGAAATCGGAGCAACTTCGTTGGTATCGGCGTTAGTCCACTGTGTCCTGTGTAACCGATTTATATAATTAATTAATTAATTA